TTTGAAGAAAGTTCACATTGTTGGAATTTTATTGGCACACAAATAATCTAGAGATGGATATCTGTATTAGAGAAAAAAAGCTATTTGATGGCGTCTTTTGGATTTTTTAGAGTGCAACTATTTTTTTAGACGATTTCCGCTCTTTTCGGAATTTTAATACGTTGATAATTTCCTCTGATGCATGAAAGATGCATTAAAAGTTTCATAGCTCACATCACAGTGCACAAAAAGGAAAATTCAATAAGGGAATCGCGAAGTCATGATGCGATGAGGAACCTAAGGCATCACTGGAGGAAACTGAATTGCGATTTCCACAAATATTGCATCGAGTGCTAATATTCGTCTCAAAAGTTCAAAAAGCCATATTCTGACGAATGAAGGATATAATCTCCGGTGCAAGATGATGGAGAAAGTTCACATTTCCTGTAACTCATCCATGAGTCGCAACGACCGTGTTTTTTTTTTCTTCTATGGAGCAATAAACTAAACCAGCCATCAGAATCTTATTTAATTTTTATTTATTTTAGATTTTTAAAAAACATGTTGTGTACCAGTATATATGAAATACTGGCTTTTGCTTGTCTGGACAAACTGCTACAAGCGGTGCTCGAGAAGCCACATGAGACCAAAGACACTCTCCTTACACTCCTGCAGCATCGGGACTTCGAACAGGTTGTACTCCTGCTCAGGAAACAGGTCTGCTTAGGCCTCGTGCATGATGGCCAGTCGCTCGTGGCGCAGTCTGCTTAGGTGGAAGTACTCTCGCTGGGCCCATTCCAATTTGTCCAGTCCCTCTGTGGAGATCACCTTGGCCACGAAGAACTGCTCCTTCACGGGTTCGAAGGCCTTCACGATCACCGAGAACCGACCCCTTATTTTCGAGAAGAAAATACCCTTTTTAATCGCTACATATATATACAGTACTGTACTGTGTATATATACTTGTACATTATTTCACAACTGGACTCTTCCTTTATTTTTTTTAGCAATGATGGACTGAAAATTCGTGGAATCATTATTCAGTTTTTTTTATCAATCGTTTTTTAATACCGTATTTATATGAATGCATGAGATTATTTGAAAGACACTCGTCTTTTCTTTCCGCGCCACACAAATTTAAGAACACGAACTTGGCGGCGTACTGAGGTAGAATTTGTTCATCGCAAATCAATTAGACTTGAAACATTTTGAAGTCGAAAATATTGAACTTTTCTCAAGTTTATGAATGAATTCCATAGGAAACGATGCATTAAAAACCTCGCTGACTTGAATGCTTTCTTCCTCAAACATCCATCACTCAAAGGATTTTCTTCCAATTCTGTCCGAACATTTTTGTTTTTGCCTGAGCTTCCAAAATGCACATTTCATCGCAGTGTTCAACGTTTAACCACATTGGCATGCAAATTGGTGAGATCAGACCTTTAACAGGGTTATTATAAACGTGAAAATACGTCACTGGGAATATTTATTGCATTATTTAACCATTTAGACAGCATTTATACAGCCTGCAAATGCTTAAAAATTCAAGTTTGGCTTCAATGTTTAAAACATTGCCATGCAAATTGGTGAGATCAGACCTTTAACAGGGTTATTATAAACGTGAAAATACGTCACTGGGAATATTTATTGCATCGTTGAAATATTTAGACAGCATTTATACAGCCTGAAAATGTTTAAAAGTTCAAGTTTGGCTGGTAATCTGATTTTTATCACCTCGAATGGTACCATGGTCTAGAATTCTCAGTCCTAACTGGAAAAAAAGTGAAAGTTTTGAAATGCATTCACGTGCAATTTTTTCTCAAGATGAAGCCCTCTGAATTTCTAATAAAGCGGACTAATGGGAGCACACCTTATGTCAGCCCGATATTAGCCAATTTATATGCGAATTACTCACCTGTCCAATTCGGCAATAAAGTGATACTTCTCCTTCGGGTCCCCTTCGGAAAATGGCACAGGATTCTCTTCAATGGAGTAATCCAGAGGGGGTCGTTTGTTCTCGTCCTCAATCTCAAAGCCCTTCTCTGTGAGAAGCTGCAGGTGCTTCATTGCCCGAGACACTTTGACCTTTGGGGCACCTGAAACGAACCTTGGTACTGAGGTATAATGACGACGACGACGAGCCTTCCTTTACTAATTACAAAGACCTTAACCAAAAAAGAGCTGGGGCAGAAGTAGTTGACCTAAATTTTGTCATCATTGTACGAAGAAAGTGTTGCTATTCAAACGTATCCCGAAGAAATTTTGAATTTTTCGAGGAACAGTCCAAATAAACGTCGAGAGTTTCGAAAATGGCGACTGTGTGTTGAAATGTGCGATATACAGTACAGTGCGATAAACCTATCTAATATATAAGCTACATTTGGAAGGACCAGGAAATAAACGTTGACTTACCGAGGTTTCGAGTTATTGAGGTTTTGAGTCAGGAAAACAAGCATTTTCGTTGTGGGAAAGGTAGAAGAATTGCTGGAAATTGTAAAATGGTGATATTCTGGGCCTTGAATTGATTTTTAAATGAGTTGAAAGGACGATGCTGAACTTGTAAGGAAGGGTTCATTTGCCCAAT